AAAAAAAAAAAAGTGACAAGTAGGACTTAACTAAGTCTTAAGTTGGCCTAGTCTTTCTATTTACTTGTCTATGAAAAACCATGACTATAATCCTTATTTTTAACTTTCTTAGGCTTCCAGAACCCTCACCTTCATTGCCAAACCCTCCATCAAAGGTAAGAAACTGTGATGAAAATATCTTTGGGGCACTTGGGAAAATATTACACTTTCGCCACATTAGTTTGTTCTAGTATATTTTACAGCATACTAAATCTGTCTTGCATAGAGTGATTCTGTGTGGAATCAAGATTGTACTGGGTACTCTGTCAATATTTTTATTTTTGCAGATTTCACCTGAATGATAAATAAAGTGCCGTAAAAACCAAGTTTGTTTTAGCAAGAGTCCTTTGAGCAAGAATAACCACATTTGTTTTTTGAATTTGAAGTAGTCAACAAATTTATAAAAACCTTTTTGTCTTTCAAACATTCTCAAACTGCCACCCACAGCTCCTTTGCAGCTTATATTTATTTCCCAGATCCAGAGAATAGAGAAGCCACTTATAAAGCACACCTGATTGCAAACTGGTGGCATCGCTCAGTTCAGGCCAGACCACAGATGAGTACGCAGTACTCCAGGAAGGGAAATAAACACATGTACCAGCTTGTTGATGAGGTCATTCACCAGCCAGCAAAGCAATGGGTGTCTTAAGAACGTAAGAACACAGAACTGATGATAAACCACTTTCCTTTCCTGCTGTGTTTATTCCTTGGCCTTGAAATTGGCCAACATGCTCAAGATTTCTTTGTATCATGTACTCTTTAGAGATGGCAGTGACCAAAAACATTCATTGCTTTGATTCTTAGAGAAAAGGACTGAAGATTGAAAGTGCATCAGTGTCAAGTAGGGGCCACATTCAGCAGGATAGCCTCTTTTACTCTCTTGAGCAACAGCTCTGGGCAGAAGTTATTTTCTGTGAGATCCAAGAAGGGCAGTTCTGGGTCAGACCCATGCTTTCTTTCCATCCAGTAGTTTATCTCTGATAGTAGCTCCAGGGAACATGGAGAGACATAGTCTTACTGTGACTAAAAGAGCAGACAGTCTAAAATTGTTTTTCATTTCTTGCCCTCCATAGCATATTCCTTTCTCCTGAGTATCTATTTTCTTGCTTAGTAACTTAGATATTATTCATGAATTAACTTAAATCTACTCTTGAAGGCTTCAGCCTTTGATACCTTCTGGAGTAATACCTTTTATAAATTTATTCTTCTGTCCCTATTTTTTCATTTTATAATTTCTAAAATTTAAGTCATCTGCAATTTTATCATATATGGTTTAGATCAGGGGTCAGCAAATTTTCTCAGTAGAAGAAAGATAGTAAATAGTTTAGGCTCCCTGAAGCAGAGAGTGGCTGTGGCAGCAACCCAGCTCTGCTGTTATAGTTGAAAATAGTCACAGACAACACATTACACAGGCATTAGAATGGCTGCGTTCCAGTCAGACTTTATCTGTCAACACCAGTGGCCAGCCATAAATGGTTAATGGGCCATAGTATGCCAAGCCCTAGTTTGGATCTCAGTATCTTGTTCTTCCTAAACCTCAGCCTCATCCTCTGGCTTATTTTAGTTACTTTTTGAGGTCTTTACTCTGTCTTCCTGAGGATCAGGTAAATATAATACATTACAGACTATAATGAAAGGGGTACCATAGTTTAAACAAGCATAGGGTGTGTCTTCTGCTAGCTTTCCTGTCTGTATCCAAGTTTTGATTTATTTTTACAGGGATATGGTATTGTTATCAGAAAGTATATTTTAGCAACATTATGTATCTTTGTATCCATGTCATAATCAATAGTGTGGAACCTGTCATCCTTAATGTATTTTAAATTCTTTACCCTTTCTATATCATATGTCTGCCTTTATTGAAGTTCAGCTTCCAATGCCCATCTCCTTCAGTTTTGAATTTGCCACCGTCAGCTAGCAGAGCCGAATGTAGCCAGCAGATTTGAAGATATTCTTGAGTTCTTTTTTGCAAATCATCTATAAGAATAATAAAACCAGACCTATTTTTTAATATCCTTTTTTTAATTTCAAGAAAGGCTTTTGTGGGAACCAGCAGTTAGCATAATGGCTATGTCGCTGGACTCCCACATAGTAGACCGCGGTTCGTGTCCCGGACCCGGTGGCTTAAGACTCACACCAGGCGCGTGTGCATGCGTGCCCAAGATACCGAGAGGAGAATGGAGGAGAAGGGATTGCGGCGTGACCATCCCCCCTGGGGGGTGATTTCTCGCTTTCTGTCTCTATGTCTCTCTCTCTCTGTCTGGCGAGCGCACGCACCCTATAGCGAAAACCTCTCCAAAAAAAAAAAAAAAAGAAAAGAAAGGCAGTTCTAGCTTTAATAAATCAAAATAAAAAATGTTAAGAGAACTTTGCTTAAGACTTGAAGTCAGGAAACAGGTTAGGATTCTGTTCAAATAGTAGACACATGGATCTGTTGGCAGTTCAAGAGAAGATAAAAATCCTTATCTCCGGAGTTCAAAGCATAGAAAAAGATCAATATTGTTTTAGTCACAAGTCATATAATTCTACTTCATCAACTCAGTCTCATGTACTTAATCTAACTTCTATTGTGGTCTGAGCTTTCCATTTAAATTCTGAAAGATAATATTCGGCTCCAGATTTATCCCTTCCATTAAGCTGGCCCTTTTCTTAGATGTTTTGTAACTCTTACTTCTGTGTGTCCGACTTTAGTTTTTCTGATATAACACTCCCTTCAGAACTTCTTGGAGAAATGGTCTGGTGCCAGTAAATTCTTTCAGGTTTTATTTATCTGAGAATGTTCTTGTCTTCTCTTCCCTTATGAAGGATAATCTTCCCAGGTATAGTATTCTTGGTTGAAATTGTTTTTCACTCAACACTTTGAATGTGTTTTCCCATTCTTCCCTTGCTTGCATTGTTTCCAGTTAGAGGTCCACTGTTAGCCTGATGGGATATCCTTTGTAGGTAACTTGTCATTTCTCTCTTGTCAGTCTGAGTATCTTGTCTTTGTGTTTTTAGTCAATCCTGGGTATAGTGTATCTTAGAGAAGATCTTCTTGGGCTGATTCTATTTGGGGTCCTTTGTATTTCTTGGGTTTGGATCTTTGAATGCCTCTCTAAGTTTGGAAAGTTTTCTTCCAGGATTTCATGGAGTAGATTATCAATGCCCTTATTAGTTTCTTCACCTTTTTGGATACCAATTGTCTGGATGTTTGGACATTTAATGGTATCTAGTATTTCTTGTATATTATTCTCATTTTTTTGGACTATTTTCTCAGTCTTTGTGGTGGATTTTTCTAGGCCAGTGATTCTGTCTTCTACATCTGAGATTCAGTCTTCTGTATGATCTAGTCTGTTTTTAGTACTTTCAACAGAGGTTTTGATTTTCCATATTACAGCCTTCATCTCTAACAGTTCAGTCTGATTCTTTTTTATGATGTGTATTTCCTCTTTCAGATCATGCAACAACTTCCTCAGCTCCTGGAAGGAGCTGCCTCTTCTGGAGTTCATTGTCTCTCTTCTCTTGCATCTCTGTTAACTTTGTCACTATGAATATTCTAAATTCTTTATCAGACATTTCCATAAGTTCCATTGTACTGTCTGTGGATGAAGAGAAATTATTCTTTTCCCTTGAGGGAGAGGTATTATCTTGGTTTCTCATATTTCTTGTGCCTTTGTGGTGATTGCTAGTCATCTGATGGGTTATATGTTTCTTCCTAATTTTTAAAAGTTCAATCTGAGAGTTCAGAAGTGTGCAGGAGGAGGCGATCTGCAGTCTCTTTGCTGTTCCATTTTTATCCCTTTATGCAGCAGATTCAGTGGGTATTGAGAATATGTTGGCCGTAGTAGTATTTGAATGTTTGGCTACGGTTCCCTTAGATCTGAATAGACAGTCAGTGTATGGAGACTGAGCAGCAAAGTGATGAAATAAAAAGGAAAAGGAAAAGGATACAGAAAGAGAAAAAGACAGAGAGAGAGAAGTAAAAGAAAAATAAATTATTATTTTTTTAAAACAAAAACTGAAAACCACGTGGCGTACTCCACTAGTTCTCAGCTGCAATGGAGGAGTCTTCTTCAGAAGGCCTTCCCCTTGCCTCTTTTAAATGGGAGGAAAAAAAGAGGATTATTAACAAGATAAAGGAGGATCTGAAAGCCAAGAGATACTTTACCTTAAAAATTTTTTGGAAAGAAAAATTACCAAAAAATGAGAAGCAGAGAGACAGAGAAAAGGATATAGGGGGTACCCTACCACTTGAGACTGGGGGCTAGAGGCTGAATTATCAGTAGACAATTTTCATTTCTCTTATTTCCTGAAAGCACTAGTTCTCAGGTGCAATGGAGGAGTTTTTTTCTCAAAACCAGGCCTCTTGTTAATCCCTGTGGTGCTCTGGTGTTTGCTCTCTTTCCAGAACTGAAGCCATTTAGTCAAACCCTTTGTTACTATCTTTCTGAGTTATTTTTCTATTGCTGCTGAAGCGTTTCCCCCACAGTAATTTGGTCTTTTAAGTAATAAATAATTTCAGTAAATAACGATTCTGTTTTTTCTAACATGTTTAGCAGCGTTGGCATGAATAACATAAAAACTATTGGGTTGTCAGAAAAGTCATGGCATATTTTTTCTATGTAAAAATGCATCATGACTTTTCTGACAGCCCAATAGTTGTGTGCATAGACTACCACAATCACTCTTTTTTTTTAAAGCTCCATCAATTTATTTACAAAAAAAAAGTAAATGCTAGAGGGTATATGCATGTACAGAAGAGAGAAAGGGAGAGGGAGAAAGCGCCCCCATAGGGGCATGGTCATGCTACAGTTCCTTCTCCATTTTTCTGTCCTCTTGGTACTTGGAGTGGGCATGCACACACACATACATACACACACACACACACAAGTGCCTCGCGTTTTTTTCAACGCTGTGATCAGCCATGTGGGATCCAGCTCCTGTAACCACCCATGAGATGGGCTATCATTTTTGTTTTTTAATAAACACAACCACTGTCCTGTTAGGCAGTGAGCTGTTAAAACACCTGAGTAACTCAGTCCTTTTACTAGACATTTAAAGTTCATACAGAAGTCCTTTCACCTTAAGGTTGCTCCACAGTAAGAGGGACATACATACACACACACCCAGTATGATTTTTCAAATCACCAGGTTTGGGACTCGAACATGGTCAGCTGTTTGGGAGTCCAGCGATTTAGCCACTATGCCATCTGCTGGCCCCATGAACTTTTTAAATTTGAAGTATGAGAGAAAAGTAAATGATGCCCAAATGTTTGTAATGTCATCTGTGTAACATTTTGCCACAGAGCAGGAATACAAATATCCTCACAACTTCAAACTTCTGGTGTTTTCAAAGTAGTATAATCTGTAACATTATTAGCTATGAGTTCTACTCTTCTGACTAAAGATAACTTCCTAGTAAAAATATTAAACCCCTAAATACCCTTTGGTATTTTAATTTAAATAGAAATATACTCTTTTTTCGGGGAGGGGTGGTACGTTTTTGCTATAGGGCGTGTGCACTCACCAGAAAGAGAGAGACAGAGAGACAGAAAGTGAGAAATCACCCCACGGGGGGATGGCCACGCCACAATCCCTTCTCTTCCATTCTCCTCTTGGCATCTTGGGCATGCACGCACACGTGCCCGGCATAAGTTTAAGCCACCAGGTCCAGGACTCAAACCATGGTCAACTACGTGGGATTCCAGCGATGTAGCCATTATGCAAATTACTGGTCCCAATAGAAACATATTCTTAAGGAAGTTGCATGTATACATTCACTTTGTGCTGGTAGCTAGTTCATGTGTAATAAATTGTCCTTGTCTTTTGACAAGGTATTTGCTAGAGGTTGCTGTGTGGACAAAAGAAACCTTTCCCATGTTGTATAATGTATTCTCAGAAGACCCCTCTGTTTTTACAGCAAAGAATTTCAAAGCATATTGTTTTATCCCTTGGGTCATATGGACTGTGCTGTCTTTTAGCACTAATCTACCAGTTCTTTGTTAGCAGAAGCAAGAAGACTACAGCTGGGGACAAGTCTGTGTTTCCTGGGGTAGATCTGTGTCATGTCTTGTTAGCATCGGGGCTCCACTAAGAGACAGCAGATGTGGAAAACTGTGAGCACTGCATAGTCCATTCTCCATGTTAAACAGCAATACTTACCTGCCCTGCTACTGTACCTTTATGTAATAGCGTGGCATGATTTCTTCTGCATTGTGATTATTAAGGCCACAGTTTAGCTCTTGACAAGTTTTTTACACTCATTAGTGTAGATTGTTCATGTAAAAAATAAAACTAATAAGTAAAGGTTTAATTGATTTAATTGTATTGGGCCTAATGGAAAAAAGCAACTCTATAAAAATTGAGATCTTGGCCCTAGTCTTCTACTTGGTGATCTTAAGCCACTTCAACACCTTCTCTGTACTTCTTTCTCCTGCTGGCTGCTTGCTAAGCAATGTTCTTGTGTGAATAAAATGAGATAATTGAATTGAATGAAAAAAGAACATAAGCCTGTGCAAAGATGGTAGTGATTGAATAATACTGTCCTTGTAGTCACAGGTCAACACTGAACCAGCACAGCAGGTGAATAAGTGAGAGTTCTGGTTAGACATCTGGCCCCTTAGAGAGAATTCTTGTCCTTAGCTTACAAATTTATTTACTTATTTTTAGACAGGGTCTTTCTATGTTACAGTCTTCCTGCTCCAGCCTCCTGAGTAGGTGGGACCTCAGGCTCATATTACCATGGCTGGCTCTTTCACAGAGGGTGTTGCTGTGCTACCCATGCTGGCCATGAGCTCATGATTTTCCTCCCTCAGCCTCCAAAGTGGGAGGGAATACAGGTGCATGCTACCACACCCAGATTTTAGGGTGGGCCAGGAATCAAACCCAGATCTCCCATGTGGTCCTAGTTTATGCAGAGCAGCATCTACCAGTGCACATCACTGTGATAGGCCCTGATCTTTAATCCTGTGGTTGGATTTACCTTGAAGTCAGCAGTCACCTCAGTGCCTGGCATACTGGTACATACAGAGCATGCATTTGGTATTGGAATGGCTGAGGGGCTGGGTCATCGACCTAATTCAGTCATATCCCATCATTTTCATGACAGTTTATCAGAAGTGGTGCATGGCTTAATTTCCTAGATAACTGGCAAAATGTGAAAGAACACGTAAAAATTAAGTCATTGCCAGGCTAGCAGGTGGTATGGAAGTTAAGGCAACTGGATCCTACATGGCCAACTGTGTGGTTGAGTCCTGGACCCTGCAGCTTGAATATCAGGCCGCACCTATGCATGCATACTCAAAATCCCAGAAGAATAGAGGAGAGGGGATTAGCATGACCTTCCTCCCCAGGGGGTGATTTCTCATTTTCACACTTTCTCTGTCTCAGGCAAGCACATGTGCCATATAGCAAACTAAAAAAAGTAAGCCTTTGATAGGTCTGCTGTCAATTTGACCTCTGTGTGGATGCAATTTGGACCAATGGTGGTGTTTTCTAAATGGATTGATGTGTCAAGATGACGTTTGACTCTACTTCACTGCTCTAACATTGCAGAAAATAAAGTTATCAGATGAGCCCGTAGAAGCAAAAGAAGATTATACTAAGTTTAACACTAAAGATTTGAAGACTGGAAAGGTATGTGTGTACAGATATAGTGGCACACTCTGTGTACTCTGTGAGTGATGCTGCTTAAATACTCCCAGAGACAGCTGCACACTTGATTATGATTGCAAGTTTAACCAGAAAGAATTATCAACTTGCATTTTCTGTGACTTAGGAATTCCAAATGGTGCATAGCAATGAAAATGTTAATCAATGGTAATCAAAGAAATGCAGATACTTAGGAAGAATGTGCCTACCCTTTGCTATGTATTCATAGTGTGATGGCATAGGAAGTTGGGTAGCCTCTGCAGGTAATTTTTTGGTCAAGGCTGCCCTGAAACTTCCCAGAAATTATGATGACAACAAATGTCACTAATACCTCCACTATTTAGCAATCACCCCAGCAAATATTTCTATAACATTTCTGAGTTTTATCTTATACATGCATTATAAATATGTGAATAGTTTTTTTAATTGGCATTATTATATTTATATAATTTTTGGTTCTGCTCTCTTCATTTAACTTTATATGGTGAAAATGTTCTTGTTATAACATTCTTTGCAAAACTGTTCATGGGTTCGTAATATTCAGCCTTTTCTGTTATTTTATTTCATCTTATGGAATAGAATTTATTTAGCCTGCCCCCTATTTTTACACATATAGATTATTTATGACATTTTTATTTTTTGTTTCAATGAAGTAATAAGCATTTTTACTCATATTCTGCATCTCCAATTATTTCATTAGACAGTTTAAAACTAAGAATAAGAACTTAGAGGATATGAGCTTGTTTATGATAACCGAGATATAGATAGATAGATACAGATATGTAGATATACATATGTAGATATATGTAGATATCTAGATATCTATATGTATTTATCTATCTATCTATCTAAATAGATAGATAGATCTCAGGATATATATAGATAGATCCATCTCACATATATATATGATGTGGATCCCATGTGGGATCCAGCTCCTTAACCACCACACCACCTGCTGGCCCCCCATTTACTTTTTTGTAAATTATAGTTGGTGTCCTTTGCCTGTTTTTATATTGAGATAGTAATGTTTTTCTGTTATTTCTAAGAACTCACTCTAAAATAAGCCTGCTGACATTTTTCATTGCATATATAAGATACAAATAGATTTCCAATGTGGTTTTAGCCTTTTCACTTGATTTTTAAACATTTTTTCCTTAGGATTAAGCATAAAAATTGTTTCCCTTTATGATTTTTATGTTGTCTTTATGCTTAGTAAGACTTGATCCATCCCAAGGTAGATTAACTTCCTCTTAGATTTTAACAATACTTATCCCTCTTACAGTGAAATGTTTTTAATAAATTTATGCTTTAATCTAGATATATAATACTTTATTTGGGCATATGATATCAGAGGATAAATCAGTTTAAGATTTGCCCAAATAGCTAGTAATCTCGATGCTTTATGTCAATGGGGACATTTTTTAATTTCTCTGCCTCCTCTCCCCCCATGAAACCGCCACTTCCCATTGTATCCCCTCGGGCATAGAACCACCACCGAGGAGAAGAATAGGGCGGGACCACTTTCTTAAATGCATGGGATAATATATCTAAAAGAGACTATCATTTTCCACCATTCAGCTTCCTAAGTTGGATGTGACAAAATGTGAGAAGCAAAAGATTGCAGGAATTACATACTGTACCTTAAAAGATACTTTGGCAAGGGCTTTGCCTTCCAATTGCTAAGGAGACAGAATAATTTTTTTTTTCTTTGCTGGTTCCCATCATTTATGCTTCCTCTGAATAAGTTGTGATGCATCCAAGTAAAATCAGCTGTCATTTACCTTCTAGTTGTGTTTTTTATAGAAAGAATACAGTGACCAGAAAGGCATAGACATGTACAGGACAGAGTTATTTGGACTAAGCTTTTTGGAAAGTATTTCTTTGTTGAGGGAAAAAACGAGGCAGCTATCCTAGTGATCTAGGATGCTTTGCAATACAGGTCAGCTTTTGAATATAATAGAGTTGTCTTTGGTTTCCCATAGAGTGAATGAAGAAAATCAGATGGTAAATTGGTGTGAATTATTCATCATCTGGCATTACAGGGCTGTAATTCCTCCGTCTGACAATTACTGCCTATGTCAGTTTCATTGTTTGTGTTATTGCACTTAATGCACCCTCCAGAATTATTCGCCCTAAAGTAAACCATTGGTTGTAATGTTCTACTCCTTAGAAGATGGCAGATTTGTCTTAACACATTTTGTTTCTTAGATCTGAATTCTGAATAGAAATCAGGACTTTTTCACTCCCTGATAAAACATGTTAGTAGCAGATGCTTACCTCCCTTAATAAACCTTGAGACATGCACAGTTTCTCTTGATTCGCATGTATGACTGACAAAAATGTTACATTTATAATGAATTTTCTCTCTTATTTTCATTAACAGAAAAATAGCAAAATGACTGCAGCTCAGAAGGCTTTGGCTAAAGTTGACAAGAGTGGAATGAAAAGTATTGATGCTTTTTTTGGTGCAAAAAATAAAAAAAAAATTGGAAAGATTTGAAAATTTAAAAATTAAATCTAGTAATAATACTTGCATTTTACATGACCCATTTTCATCCTTCCTTCATGCCACTATATGTTCTGACCCTTAATTACCATCTTTTTTTGGGGGAAGAAAAGAATAGTTTTCAGATACCCATGAACTTTTCTCTACATTTTTATGTTTGTAAACAAAATATCAGAAAGCAATTAGTGTAACTTTATAGCTATGACCTTTGGAGTCTCATTTGATATAATGAAATAGAAATTAACATGTAGTATCACAGTATCCTCAATAAACTGACCTTGGTAGTATTTGAGTGTATGTCTGTTATTTTATGCAACTTTGCCATCCACCAGCTATGGTGGGATGCCTTTCAAAATGCTGGGAGAAACTGGGTAGAAAAACTATCAGGTAAATTACTACTTTTTTAAAAGCTTTTGTTTAATGGTAGATTTCAGTTTTTATGAATGGATATTCTTTATAGAAAATAGAGAAAAGAATAAAGCAAAAATTATAATTTCCTACATTTTTATTACCCAGAGATAATATGGTTTTATCTTTCTTCCCTGTATAAAAGACAGAGAGATACAGCACCCCCAACAGGGGCTTGACTCTGATATCTACCACCAGCCACCCCCAAGCCCAAAAACAGACACATGTATGCCCAACATACACAGGGAAGTCTCTGGGTGTGAAATAAGAACCTATGCATGTGGGTCAACCTTGAAGAGCATCATGTTTTTACCATTCTGCCACCATCCAGCCCCTTCTAGTAATAATAATTTTAAAAAAGGAATTTTAATAGTAATTTTATAAACTTTTTTAGCATAATTTTGTATTTTTTCCAGGCTACTGAATATTCATAATTTTTTGTTCATACTATTTTTTTTTCTTTTGCCATAGGGAACATGGACTCAGCAGAGAGAGAGGGAAAGTAAGAAATCACCCCTAGGGGGTATGGCCATGCTGTAATTACTTCTCCATCTCCTTTTGGGATTTGGGACACACACATACACACACACACACACACACACACACAGAGCACATTTTTTCAAGCTGCTGGGCCTACGACTTGAACTGTGGAGTTGGCCATGTGGGATACAACACCTTAACCACCATGCCACCTGATGGCCCCATAAATATGCTTTTTAATAATATAATTTTCATTTATTTGAATATTTTATTATTTAATAGCCATGACCCTGTATAGATATTTAGATTATTTATAGAAATATTCACTGTTTGAAGAATCAGATTATATGTAAATATTTTTCCACATCTTTTACTGTTTCCTTAGAATGAATTTTTAAATGTAGGCTTAGTGATTCAAAGATGTTTTTCCAAAATATATTTGTAGGAATATATTTCACAGAAAGATCGAAGAATCTTGCAGACATACAATGCCTCTTATCCATAGCCTGCCTTGCATTACTCAGAAGTAAATCTTCCACATTTGTCCACTTTCTATCAAATGCCAGGGTCTTTTTTTTTATGGCTGAGTAGTATTCCATAGTGTATATGTGCCACACTTTCTCAATCTATTCATCTGTTTATGGACATTTGGGTTGGTTCCATGTCTCAGCAATTGTGAATAATGGTGCAATAAACATAAATGTGCAAGCATTCTCCTATCCTTTGGATAAATATCCAGGAGTGGAATTGCTGGATCATATGGTAGTTCTATTTGTAGATCTTTTTTTTTTTTTAATTATTTTTATTATCATCATAATCTTCTTTACATTACATTGGATTACATATAACTTTAGAGCATATTGCATTGCTTTTTCAAAAGGGAATGCCATGCATGTCAGTCAATATAGAGACATTAATCTCCCCACTTCATCATTCAATATCTTTTCTATGTTTTCCCAATCATTATTATTATTATTCTAATTATTTTTTTAAACAGTCAATCACTATTTCTCATTTTGCTTATAAAAAGACTTTACCCATCATGAAATACTTCTCAGATCAATCCAGTTGAGAATACTAGACATGTCATCATCAACAGGTAATAAGCCATATCTGTTTCTCACTAACATCCTGCCTCTCTATTTGTTCTCTTGCTATCTTTCTCTGTCCTCTTCTCTTCACCGCCCCCTTTTCACACTGTCTTATTCTCGTTAAGTACTTTCACTGCTTATATGTTCTCCAATATTTTGCTCTCTACCATAGAGTGCGGATAGTCGGTATATTACTTGTAGATCTTTAAGGAACCTCCATATTGTTCTTCACAGTGGCTGGATTTACATTCCCACCAACTGTTAACGGAAATTCTCTTTATATCACAGCCTCACCAGCACTAATTATTTTTAAAGGATTATTTTAACTTTATTTATTATTATTATTATTTTCCAATTTGACCAGAGAGAGACAGAGAAGGGGGAGTGAAAAAGGAAGCCACCGGGTCCAGGACTTGAACCATGGTTGGCCATGTGTGAGTCCAGTACCCTTAACCACCATGCCACCTGCTGGCCCCTCATGTTTTGTTTTTTTAATCTTA